CCCCCCCCCCAGAATAAAAGGCCATGCCCTTATACAGTGTCTCGGCACATCATTACTTTTTTTCATGACCTTCTAATTAGGGTGACCCTCTAATACGTCTGAAATTTAGAATGTCCTATGTTTCAATAAGTTTCATTTTTATTTATGTTTTTCATACTACAGACAATTTTTTTTTCGAAGAAAGAGAATGATGAATATATAGACGAATGTATGGTCGAGGACAATATGTACCAAGACGACATTTATTCTTTCGATTTTTTACTATTTTGTCTATCTTTCTCACTCATTCATGTAGACAAACCTAGGCCATGGCCTTCTAATAGGGCGTTTGAACTTTTGTCCGAACATGGCCTTATACAGGGGGTGGCCGTCTATTTTGGGGGGTGGTTTATCCCCGGTGGCGTTGCTGCCATGAACCAGAACCTCAATTTTTTGTAGTTTCACCGCTAGAACGTTGTCGAGTGGCCCACTCTCACCACTTGCCATCCACGCCACCACCTCTACTGTTCAGGTTTTTACACTCTACTAAGGAGATTCTTGGATGGGAGAACATCGATCGACTAAAAACCGGATCAGTGTGGCGCCAGTCCATTTCGACTGGAACCTCCACCTGACGCCACCGGAAATACTCGAAAATGTTCTTTCTTCTTTTAGTCTTGTCGGGCGAATGCGAATTTCTTGTTCAAACAGGATGTGTTTTTTTCGAGGACAAAGGTTAACAAGTGGAATAAGAATTCCTTCTTATTCACAGCGATATACACACAGACATGTGCTCTATTATCGTCTTTTTCGGATAGAAGAACATGAGTTCTTTTTATCCATAGAGAAATGTGCTTTATTTGCTTCTTCTTCAATAAGAAGAACAACTTGTTATTTAAAACAAGATAAGTTATGTAACATTATATTGATTTGAAATAAAGCGAAGTAGTTTTAAGGTAATACAGTAGTTATAACAACTTAGGTTGAGTACAGGTTCCGATAGTTCATATGTAAAAACGTTTGATCAAACCATTTGATTTCAACTTTTTGAGCAATGACCTGGTTTTCCAAAGATCTTCTGAAAACCCTGCTTTAGGGAAAGATTCTGAAAATGATTTTCATTGTGAAAAGATGCAGTTAGGGCCTAGCTTTCGATTAACGAAGACCGCAAGCATCTACCACTTTTCTGTGACAAACGTTATTCAAAAAACGTCCGAATTCATTCTTTTTTTTACCGACAATAGTTACTATTTCTATTACATACCTCTTTTAAATACATCAGAGCTTTACGGTTTTCTTTTGTTTTATCACTAGTCAAATATTGCAACAGAAAGCAAACCACTCAAAACACAAGTTTTATTTTGTTTTGTTCACGACAAGTACACACACAAGAAATAGTAGAGAAAAAATAGTGGAAACCATATGACTCGAAAAAAACAGTAAAAGAATTCAGTTCACAACACTGCACAAACAAACAGCAGGCAATGGCAAAACAGTATCAAATCGACGAGTCGTCATCCGATGAGGAAGTTACAGTTTACGGTCGTTCTACAAAAAGTATCATCAAAGAACTCTGCGCCTACGATCCAGTCAATACAAAAACTGACGAGCGCTTAGCTCACAACTGTTATTTCTCGTTAATCGGTGTACTCAACAAAGAAATCGAAATCATAACGACAATCAATGAAGAAACCACTGCGCTCATCCTAGAACACATTACATTCGTGCTCAGCGAAAAGGAACTACTCAATAGCAGATCAAATGATCTCGTGTTCGAAGACAACTTCAACATGAAAGTTATTGATATGGCCAAGGTGGGTCAGTTTTCATTTAACAAACTGCATGAGATCTGTTCCAAGTACGAGAAGCTATCCGGAATGCGTGAGCACGAAGAGCGTGTGAACAAAACATACGAGTTCTTCATGAAACGAGGCTTCGGTGAAGAGGAAGCTCGCTCCACTGCGTTCGCGATCTCGTTCTATACGGGTTCCAAGAGCGAGACGATCAATCGAGCGGGCAGTCTACTTGCAAGACAAGGCAACGGGGCTGCCTTGACGCAGGTGGCCAAGGGCGATGTAGCCGATGCGGGCATCATACTCTATTACCTAGTTCGTGGTTTATCAAACATACCCTACTATTAGGGTAAAGTGTCTCGCGCATGTCAACTTACTGATGTTGAACTGAAATGTTACATGCCTGGTTATCTCGTCACCTGGCTTCAGTTTAGTAGTTCGATGAAAGGTGAACAGCCACCAAAACACTTTCGCGGACGCAACACCTTCTTCTCCATCTATTCTATTACTGGGAGACCCATTCGTGACTTCTCCAATTTTCCAAAAGAGGATGAGGTCTTATTTCTACCTCATTCTACTTTTATTGTGGTGGATCATCAACTCAGCTTTCATGGGGAGCAGCATCTGATTTTTCTACGTCAAGTCGAGCTCGGTCTTTCTCAATGGTCTGTACTTTGGGTTGATGATCATATATTTGACGAGAAATGGCAGAATAAGCGTGACATGGAAACGGCGGCTGCTCGCGATCTTAATTTCAACGTACATTTCATACCAAAGTCTAATACGGATAATGGTATTTCGTTTCTTGTGTCACCATTTGGCCAACGTCTAAAAAATCAAGATAATTTTCGTATTGTCACCGATATGAATCGAAATAATGAGTATCCAGTCAACACAGCGGGTGCTCGCTTTATCAAGCGTGTGCGAGAGCTGGGTTTTCGTAATAAATGCATGGTGTTTACAAGTGACAAGGCCAAAGCACAGCAAGAACTACACAAACTGCTCACGTCAAGCGAATGCAGTGAAGTTACCGTCTCAGTTCGTACTTCCGATTTACGCAAATTTGTCAGTTTCGAGCAAACAGGCACATGAACAATCTACTTTACTCGAGCATCTGTAGTTTTAAAGAATAAACGTTATCCGGCTAAGTTTGTCCCATTTCTATCTCACATTCGACTTCGGACTGCCAGACTAACATAACCTACGATACAAAAGTAATTGGACAAATGTCAAGCATTATTTCTACATGTTCCAGATGTGCCGGAAACTTAATTATTTTTCCGTTGGAAATGCAAAGTCTGATCTTCAAAAAGGTAGAAAACCAAACGTTTGATGGTGGAGTTCATTAGCACTATCGTTGAGTACATCAACGATAGGGCTAAAAGTCTGTCAAGTGAAATTGTTTGACCTATAGTTTTTTTTCTATTTTTGGATTCTATGATTAAAACTGAGTTATGAAAAAATTTTGAGGCCGTTTGGACTTGATTTCGCTGAGTTATAGAATTTACAAAATTAGATGTATCGAAGATTGTCCAAAAAGTGCCCTCCGTGACATTTAGCCTATAACTTCGTCAAATTTTATCCGTTCTATTTGAACAACATCTCATTCGAAAGTGCATCAAAAAATGAACAAAATCATGTGTTTCTAAACTTTTCGAACGGAAACTGGATTTGTCAGAAGCCTACCGTTTGAAAAATCAGTAATTTTAAAAACAACATTTATCCAATAAACTTTATTTTTCTCCGTCCAGGAGATTTCCCGCAAAATGTAACTTGGTGTGTTTTGTAGTGTATGGTTTGTAGTGCGCGCAATTCTCTACAAAATAAGCTATAAAACTTTCTTTCACAATCTCAGGAACATGTTGAAAAATTTCGAGTGATACATACTCACACCCATGTCTCTCATGGAACTACGTTCTATTCGACGTCGGTGTTTTCCTGTACATAAATGTTTCGTATCTGATAAACGAAGCTATACATCCCTCTTCGGGACAGTCATACAACTTACTTCTACTAGCCTGGACCGCCGGTTCGACTGTAGTTGTTGTGGTAATCGAGGAACGGTCGGACAGAGATTTACGTTCTTTAGGAACTGTGGTAATGGACGACAGTTGTAGCTTAGAGGGACATGGTTGACACTGTAGATGACTTATAGCTTTCAGTGTATCCAATAATGGCCATTTAAGTAATTTACCAACACCAACGTTCCATGCCCTATATATCCGTATACCATTGTGTTCAAACCCGAAATTATTCACGAACGTAATTTTTGGAAAGGTAACTTTTGTCGGTTTCGGATTTCTAATAAGACTACATTCATACGACTGTACTCTTTTCACTCCTTCATATGAATGTATGGCCTCGACAAATTCTGCAGCATTCATTATATTGTGTTTTTCGCTGAGATATCGTCGTACGTTTGCTTTTATGACAGCTGATCACATCCCGATTTTCCAGCCTGCGGATCAGAAAAATCAATACGTGATATTTTGATTTTAGTTTTTTCAGATATCAGTGGTAACGACAGGAGTGTACCGGCAGAATGGTAACATCCTGCGTTATCTGCACGACGGTACGCATATTCTATCGATGGATCATCTGCTTTAACACGTGTCAATACATCTTGAAGAATGGCAACGACAGATTCATTATCCTGAACACAATGATCCATAGCATGAACATAAACTGTATGAGTATAACTATTTTGTGCAGACATTTCTTCTTCTTCGGCCTCTTCGTCACTAGTTTCTTCATTCTCACTTTCATCATTACCCGTAGTATTCTTTGGCTGTGTGCTTTTTGTAGTAGTACTAGTTACTTTCTTCACCACCACACTAATATGCCATGATAAACCTCGCTTGGCGAAAAAATCTTCCTGTGACTCCATGTATTTTTCCGGAAGCCATTTCATCGCCCAATCTGTTAGAATATAAACTGAATTGGCAGGCAGATCCTGCAGCAGTTCTTGTCTTGACAGATCCTGATTCACAGCTCGTAGCTAATGACATTTCCATGCCTCTATGCCATCCGTACTCATTTTAAGTTTAGCCAATTCACGATCTAATAATTCTTTGTCAGTTACTGAACTCTTTATCATAGTACGTAACTTTTCCAAAGTGACAGCCAAATTATTACATTCTACGCATACGTCATCATGTCGATGGTCACACTTCTCGACATAATCAGTGTCATTTGATTGTGAAAGTGCATAGTTAATGCATGATCAGCTATAGTTGACGACTTTTGCACATGAACTTTATAATCAGTCTTCAGATACATTCGTCCGCGTTTTACATCATCAACGACTATTTTTTTTGAACCACTATCCAATTACAGATCATTCACCATATCAATAAGATTATCAAATGCCAGACTAGCGTTAGCTGCAAAATAGTTCATTCTTTGTAAACTGTGATATAGAGTTAATCCAGGTAAAAACAATTGTATAAGTTTATAGCTTATTTTCGGTGCGACAATCGATAAAATCTCTCTGCGTGTGATCCACTTCTCTGAGTTTTTATATGCCTCGCTTATACCATCCATTACTGCCAGGAATTTCTCATCTATCAAACAGGATTTCGAATCGTTTTTTGTATCGAACAGATCACGTTTCACATCAGTAATATCATTAGGAGCAAGAAATAAAAGTACGGTTTTAATAACCGATCGAGCAGTAGACAGAAATGTATTTTTCGATTTTTTGGTTAAATTATTATAGTTCAGTGTAGACCAAATTTCGCTATCATTGCTAGATAGTTGTAGAAATATTAACAGAGCAGTTTTCTGCTCTTTATATCGACTACGATCAACGCCTTCGTCTTCTTCGTCTGGTCTTAATATCGGCAAATCCGGCTCCGGTCGGTACTCATCATCCTTCTTACTTTCACTAGATTCATCAATGAATGGTACCATTCCTTTCCCTCGTTTGGCACACTCTCTACAAATCCACTCGCCATAGGAACTGTGTACTTGGGGATAATCCGCATAAATTAATAGTGCAAGGCGTAAGTCAATTCTACGAAGTCCACTCTTACTCGCTTTAATTTTCGTAGGATCTTTAATTTTTGTATGTGGTACTGCTGAAGCAGACGGATCCGAAGAATTGTGAGCAGTTGATACACACGTATAACATTTTTTATTCTTCTTCGGATCGAATGACGTTATTAGTTCATCGAAATGCGATACACAAATAAACATGTTATTACACTGGAACGCGAATGACCGTAAAAATAAGCAAATAATGTAATTGTACAATAAACTTGCAATTCAATCATATATTTATGTGGACTATTGTTTTCTCGCATCTCTACTCTTAGAGTAAAAAAGATATTTCTGCAAGTCTTGCAAATTCGTTTCTATTTTTTCCGTCTGTTACAAGCGCATTGTTTTGTTTGCTGCTCAGTGAATTATGCACTGAATGAGTTGAAATTTTTATCGCAGATAGGACTCATGGTATACCACCACAGAAAAACATTTCAGCTCGAAAGTCTTTGCTGTCATCGAGATATTGGTCTCTGAGTGCGTCAAACTTTCTGCCCGTTACGCCTGGGCAGACCGACATGCATCAACAGCTTTTTTATCTACATGTGTAAGGAGGGCACTGTTACTTCCAAACTGTATTATTTCTTTTTCAGACCTGCAAAAGAATAATGTAGCAGGTGCCAGTCGCATCAGAGGGACTTCCCAGTCCGTCAGGTTCACCGCATTCTGAGTCTCCTTCAACTGATTGAGACAACTCTTACGAGAGTTACTGAACTGCAAAATCAAATGTCTACCCATTATTGGTTTGTGAAAAATTGCTCGAAATTATGCAGTATACAAAAATTGCTTTTTATCTTTTTATTTAATATACCTAACTTCAGCTGACCTCTTTTGTTTCTTCTCTATATTCACTTTTCTGCTCTAACATCCATTTTTTTTTTCACAAAAACAAAATCTGAGCGTTGTTTTCTTTCCTTTCTTTCGTAACATATCAATGAGATTGAGTAAAACGTGATGTTTTTTCCTTCTTCTCTCGCTTGGTTTTTTACATCATGATGTTTCATCAGGTTGCCAGCCATGAAAAATACCTTTAGAAAATGACTTTATCAGAATTGTTGGAGATTAAAAAAAAGCGAACACATTAAATCGTAGCAGCTGTTAATAGTCTTGAAAAACGATTTATATTCTTTTTAATACTTCTTTTGTCCTAAAATTAAGCACGTTGTAAGTGGATAGCGCATAATCCATGTGTGCACTGTGAAAGTTAGACCCTAGTGAAACTCCTTTTAATCAAGATCTTGATTTCTTGAATTTTTTTAATAAGATCGTGGTACGAAAATATAAGAATTCAAGAAGTCAAGATTCTGAATATCTTGTACCAAAATCTTGGAAATTCTTGGATCATCATTTTGTTTTACACTCTTGTGTAAATATAAGTGCGAAATTTTTTAACTTAGAATAACATCGAATGTTTTTCCTACTTGACCATAGTTGTTTAAGGAAGAATTTAAGACTCTATATGGTCGTATATCCGATGGCCTTGCCTGTCATAAATAAAAACAAAATGTAAAGAAAATTTTTCACTCAAGGTCTTGAAACATCTTGGGTAGATTCACTCAAGATCTCGAAAGTTCCGTTCCCAAGATTTTGGTCAAGATCTTGAGAGGAGAGTAAGCCAAGATATTTCAAGATCTTGAGTGAAAGATTCAAGAATCCAAGGTTTGGACTTCCTAGTATTGTTTCCATGGATCTTGTAATATTTCTTAATCCAAGTTTTCATGTACAAGAAGTTCCACTAGAAGATACTCTAGCGTAGCGAAACTGTAAAAGATAAGAAAAATTCATAATTTTAATTGAATTCTCTAGTCTATACATGTCGAAAGCAAGCCGGTGCCAGAATGCGTATTTAATGAGATCAGCAAGTGCACAAATCGAGCTGCTAACGATACAACTTATTTTCAAAATGGCCACAGCGCATAGATAAATATTTATCTTTTTATATACCTGGGATTGGGAATTTTTGAGAGTTTATACTTAGTTTTTTGAGATATAAGCGCTATTTTCTAGCTTTTCAGCCGCTACGTTGTCTAATTTAATACATTTCAATAAACTAGCAACACAAAATGGGTCGGCGATCTAATGAATTTATTTGTCTGCCGGAATTTCAGATTTTTTATAAAATAAGATGTGAAAAACAGTCCCACCGATTTAAATGAATTCCAGTGAGCCGACCAAACGTATTAAACGCAATCATACAGGTAAGTGGAGTTTCAAAAGCAAGATTCATGCAAACTACTGCTACAGCTTTTTTTTTGTGAGTGATTAGACTATATAACGGGTGAGCCATAAAGAATGTCGGTCTCAGTATTTCGTTAATATTTTTCTCAGTTTTCATTGTCAAGGCTTTAACATTTTTTAAAAGATTCGTCGTTTCATTCTCTACAAAAACATATTGAACATTCTTTTTATATATCGCAGAAATAAAGAAGATATATGAAATACTGTGAAGCTTTAATTTCCATTACTTTCTAACTCAAAACACAACAAAAAGATATTTATTTTGGACATAAAGCTATGCAATATACTAGAATCAAAACGTATGTGCTGGTGCCACGAAGTGTCGTCTTTCTTGTCATGTATCATAGGTTGTCTTTCAACGTGTTTTTCTGACATAAAATGCATTTTACTACAGTCTACCAAAAAAAAAAGGAAAATTTCCACCTTTTCGTCTTGTCAGTGGAAATGAAAATGGAACTATCGAACTTCCTCTGTTCCAATATAACAGAAGAATTAATCTGCTTTAGGATAAGACACACCTCTCAAAATATTTGATTTTGGGCGATTTATAAAATATTTGGGTGATTTTTTTTTTTGCAAATGCCACGAAAACTGCAGTTTGAAAACGGCGATTTGTGATAAAGTCGATATAAGCAAACATTTCTCCCGCAACGAATTGCGATTATGAAGAGTTTTTAACATAGCTAATTGGTAGAACTTTTCAAAGGTTACAAACGGTCATCTTCGCTTATTCTGTATTACAAAATACAAAGAGCTAGAATTGGAAAACTGTTTTTTTTTGTGTTAGAAAGTAATGGAAATTGAACTTCATTTCTGCGGTATATAAAAAAGAATGTTCAATATTTTTTTTTTGTAGAGAATGAAACGACGAATCGTTTAAAAAAAGTTAAAGCCTTAATAATGAAAACTGAGCGAAATATTAACGAAATACTTAGACCGCCATTCTTTGTGACCCATTCGTCACATTGTAGAAAATTGCTTCGGAAGCTGAGAGAGTGGGATAAACTCTAGCAGATGCTCGACAAAACTCAAGAAACCTTTTTTTATTATTTTTAAAATTTAGATTTATCACATCCCACCACTATCTCACTCTTACCTACCGAAATCTTCTACTGTATCTTCGATTATTTAACTCCATTCGAGTTGTATTCAACATTCTACAATGTCAGTAAACAAATCAATGCTATTATCCACACTGTACCATTATCACTGAACTTAGATTCACATGCAAAAAGTCGGCAATTCCATAAATCAATCGTTCCACATCTCTCTCCTCACAATAAAATATTAAAACTAGTTATATGGTTTCCGTCTAGCAAAGACTTTAGCCTTCTTACTTTTGTTCTATGTAAGCATCAACTCTGTTGTTCAGTTCGTAAACTCTCTTTATATTTCAAGGATGATGAAATACTATTTGAACAGGTCTATAAATCAATATCCAGAATGTCTCAATTACAATCATTATTATTAAAACGTTATCCAACAACAGATTCGCAATGGTTAATTGTCTCTAAATGGCAAGAATTGTTAGAAGTGAATTTAAAAATGACATTAAAGATATTGAATGTTAGTGTACATTTTGATAATTATTTGGGATTCTTAGATGCAGTTCAGTTGCAAAAAGTATTTGAGACTATCAACATTGGTGGAAAATGGAATATTAAAGTACAAAAATATAATAAATTTATTTATTTTGAGTTGAAGAACCTGCCGAGTGTTTCTGATGTATGTTTATCGAAAGGAAACGAATGATAGATTAAAAAATGTTTTTGTTATTTATATTTTAGTCTATGAAAAAGTCATAGAAGATAAAGTAAATTTTTTGGGAAAAATGGTTTTGCCGTTCATGACAAATCCTTAACGTTTAGATTCAGCAGATGATTTGTACGACTATATAAAAATAATCTACAGCAGACATATGTAAATTCAATGATTTCTTTATTTAAGCCAACAGTGTTACACTTCATGAACGATGATGCGCGCTACTTGTAGAAAAAAATCATATAAATCCTATATTCCATGGCGAAGCAATTAAAAAGATTTTTGGATATAACTAGACAATAACTGGAGACTCTAAATGTATAAACTTCTCTTCATAAAACATGTAAATTATTTCAGTTGCGAAGAAATGCATTATAGGAAAACAACAGTTAAACATATACCGAAAGATAAATCAAGAAAGATGAATCAAAGAGTGAACGAACGCAGGTATTTGCCAACTTTTGGTGATTGGTCTTCTGGAAAACCAACTGAAAAAGCCACAATAATTTTTGGAATCAGCCATTTTAGAACACAAAAAGCTGTCGATGATATTGAAATTTTAGCCTCTCGGTGTAAAATTTCACAGAATGACAGAAGTTTCTAAATACAAATTATGAGCGTTTCTAGACAGAACCATTACTGCTGTGGAAAATTTACAATACTGTTTCGAAAAATTTTGAAAAGCTGAGATTCGGGTATCATTGACAGCTCTATAAAATCGCTGATTGAAAAAATTATTCTGGCTTTTCCAGCTGGTTTTCTAGAAGATCGACCACCAGAAGTTGACAAACCTCTGCGTTTGTTCACTCTTTGATTCTCTATGGAATGATATATTTTTGAAGTTTCCAGAGCTTATCTGGATGAAGTTCTTTCAAATTAAAAAAAGTTAAGGTTTTAAAATTTAAAACTCTAGTTTAAAAATTCACTTTCTGCTGGAGACTCGAATTTCATTTTAAAATGAAGTTTATTCTGTCCTGAATATGACCATAACCTCAAAATTGTTCCATCTTCAGTATAGTAGCATTGTACGCAATTCAATTTTCAAACTCCCTTCAATAAATACTAACTGATCCACTCCCTTTCGGGACATACAACCCCAAACTATGAGGTTCCCTCCGCCGTGAGCGACCGTTGATACTATGCACACGGGAGAGAATACTTCGCCGACAGCTCTCCAGACCATTATTTTTCCATCAGATCTAAACAAATTAAATTTGGCTTCGTCTGACCATATAACAGTTTCCCAAAATTTATTTTTCTTCGTCGAATAACTGTAACTGTAGCCGAGTCGTTTTAAACGATGAGACTGTTTTGTCAGCGGTTTTTTTCGTGCAACTTGTCCGTAATATCCAACCTCATTCAGTCTACGTCTAGTTGTCCTTTCCGAAATTGTAACTCCTAATTCTGTGGCTACTTCCTGTCGAATAACCTTGGAAGATTTCCTACGATCGGTGGCAATTTTCTTAACAATTAATTCATCGGCTTCTTTTGATGTTTTTCGTTTTCTTCCTCGGCCGCTCAATGTTTTAACAGTTTTTAATTTTTAGTATTTTTGCACAATCATTTGTACCGTTGACTTATCCACCAACATAATTCTCACTATTTCAGCAAGACTTTTCCCCAACAAACGATGTTTAATTATAAGTTCGTGGAAGTCCTCCAAAAATTCCTTAGTTTTTCGCATGTTTATCTTTTACACAAAGAAATATAACGTTAATTACTACTAGCAGAAGAAGCAAGAAGTGGTCAGTCTATATCTGATAGGACACAATACAGAAGGAAAGAAAAGAACAGTTTGAACTACTAGAAAGTAACTTTCTACATTTTTTTTTGACATTCCATCATAAAAAGTGTATTTCTTTCTTTTCTTTCTATGACAATAAATTGTCATTATAGTACTACATTGTCTAAAGTATCTTAAAGTGACTGTCCAAAAAAATTCACAATATGCAAAAGAAAACTTCCCTTTAGCAAAAGTTTTGCTTTCATCTAAAAACTCACTAAATACCTGACAGGAGAATAAAGGCATTTTTGCCAAGCAAAACGTTTGCTAAACTTCGAGTGACACATCACTAAATGCAGTTTTTGACACTGAGCACGAATATGTCGTCAGTTTTTAATGAAAAATGTTTTTGATGGGTGAAAAGTCGGTTTTAATGTCCAGAAACTCGTTTTTCCCTGTGAAATTAACAAGTCTAAATTTCTCTTTTCATACCCCTATACAGTAACTACTTGACTACATGATAACGCAAAGATATCCCAAAAATGTTTACCCTCCTGTGCAGGAAAGATATTTCAAAAATAGCCCCAAGATCCAAAACATCAAAAAGATGGGTCAAATTTCTTCACTTAACTTCCATACTATATTTATGTTACTCAGTTTTTGATGCTCTTTCGAATGGCTTAATCAGAACTTTTTTTTCCACCCACTCATTCTCGAGATTCAGCCGTCACATGAAGAGTATGACACTCTTGACTTAAAGTCGCATTTGCACCCTATGGAAAAAGCTTTTCAAAATTATTTTTTTACCAAAATGTAGTCCGCGCTCTCTTCTATCTGTTGATGTAGTTTTCATATTTTGTAGACGCTTATACAGCGTGAAAAAATTTTTATCAAACGTACAAATAATTTTGGCCAAAAAAACATAGACCTCTCTAGTGTTATAGCCATACTAGATGCAAATGGCCTAGTAATTGCCAAATTTTGCCGTAGAGAGCGGACCCAACGGGCAATCTCCTGGTAGTTTCACAATTAAAAAAGACACCTTGGTCACAGACTTATGAGCAAACACTGATCGTACAAATAATTTTGGCCGCCACTGTAGCTTCCTCTGCTGTTCTTTTTGGACTATTTATACAGTGTAATAATCACTATATTTTCATATTCATCGAAATATCACTGTTATCATGGTTTATTAAAAATAAGATTACCATCATCATCCTATCATTATGCATTCATTGCTTGCCTTCTTATATTTGTTACATGAGTATACAGATTTATTTCTTAATAGAGAAGAAAAATCGCATAATAGTCACATGGAGAGGACTAGTCTAGATCATAAACAATTTAATAACAATAATGAACACATATTGTATCTGTAACACTTACTATTGTATTTGGTGTTGGTTTTATGATAATCTTATCCGGTTCTATTTATTTATATGGCAAACTTAAAGAATTACAAGAAGAATTAAAGGAATGTTTGACAAAACTACGACAAAAAACACATTCTTCTAAACTACGAACACATAGTCAGTTTATCTCGTACACCTTAGTGTATTCAACAAAAACAATGGAAATGGAATTTTACTTTTCACGAAATATTTCACACACTGGTATTTTCTTACCACAAAATTCGATAAATTTATCGACCGTTAAAATGGTTACACTTTGATACACACCATTTTTCGGTTTCTCATATACATGCACGACTTCGGGCAGTAAATCCACCACCCATACTTCCTTCGCATTTGCCGCAGCATATCTGAAAACCTTGTTGTTGACATCGTCCATCAAAGAGGATAATGAAACTTCAATGACAGTTAATACCATTTCGTTCGTTGGATTACATCGGCAACGGTTAACATATTTGGCGCGATCAACAATTGTTATGTGTGGCTGAAACAGATCGCTGTCAAATATAACAGGTATTTCAACTAATACGTCAATCGGTGGTGTTGTATGTTTCGACGAGGCTTTTTTAAGTATCTCACATAAACTAATTTTTGTCCAATAATGCTTCATCGATTCAGGCATATCGGTTATAATTACTGTCCCGTTAAATAGTTCTACGGTTTTACCTAGAAAATGAGCAGAAAAAGTAATAACGACCGGTAGTTGTTGAAGAAGCATGGACCGTACAATTACCAAACCGCTCATTAGTTTTACTTCATGTACTCCTTCTTCCGTTCAACTTGATCGGAATAAGCTTCTCGACTCAGTTACTCGTTTTCCTTCCATAAAGCTTTTCAAAAAAGCCCTATCTCAGTATCTTCGCAGTTAACTTCGATCTTCTCTGCAGTCAAGTAACCGTCTTAGTTTCCTTCCCTCTGTCTCTGTCTCTCTTCGCATTTGTTTATTACTTTTTACTATCCTCGTTGTCTTTGATTCATGCTTTGGCTATTTGGTTATTTTTGCTTTCTTCTCTGATTTATTGCAGCCCTTTTGCTGTTGACTGTAGTCATTGTTATTCTAAGTTGGTACAGTCGTAGTCTTACTCTGTCCGAATTTAGAAAGATACGCAGGCATCGGTTTTTGTACAGCAAAAACGTCACCCTAGTAATAACGCGGTTGGCAGCGTGAAGGTGATTGTAGAAGTACCCGCGCATCCCGATCTATACCATCATGAAAAATGTACTGAAATGCCCATTTAGCCTCCTCTTATATATGTCAGAGCCTAATACTGGAACAATACTGATCGCGAAGAAGAAGAATACAATAGAAGATCATATAGCATACCACTACTCAATATCTTATCGTGTGAGGTATGGAATGTTAGATCTGCACCATCTACAGTTCTACACCCTAACCTTCTTCATTAAATGTAAGATAATGGAGTTTAACCTCCTTTTCAGAACAGAAAATCCAAAGTAAAAGAGAACCTCTTAATACTATTTCTTTTTATATAATTGTATGTAGCTGAAGATACAAAAGTCACTCCTATAGTCCACAAGTATTGATGTTGTGATATTTTCTTACTTTTATATATCTCTTCGTCCATCATTTTCATCAAGTCATCTATTGTTGTTTTGTCGTTCTTGTCTGCTATCATTATGGAGGTGAAATAGTGAACTGAATAGTGAAAGAAAAGTAGTGATAAATGTGTGATGCTACATCATTTTTATTTCTTTGTCTAAGTCGGACCACCCTAAAAAAAGGAAAGTAAGGAAAAAAGGAAACTCTCTTTATTGGCCAACTAACTGGCCAATCAAAACATTTCCGTGGAATATCAACTATAAATCCAAAGAGCGAGAGGAAAGAGGAAAAGAGAATTAAATAATGTGACCAGTCAAATAAATACAGTTTTTCTTTATGTTGCTAGGTAGCTATAGTAGCTGACTTGAACACACCGGATGAGGGTCGTGTGCAAAAAAAATTGGTATTTTGATATGATATTTGCTAAATTGATATTGTTTCATTTCTCGCACCGCCATCTTGATGAATCATGGTCTAAAAGTCTCAATAACTGTGTAAAATTTGAAATGAATCATACGCAGAGAGAGAAATGCACAGGAACCCAGATCCAAAAGATGAAAATCAGAAAAAAACGAGTCGGAATAAACAACCGAATTTTTTACAAATTTTCCGAATGTAGCTGCAAGAATGAAAGAGGTTAAGAGGATGTTTTTCACAGGCTGAAACTGTGGTTGAAGTCGACTTCATTCAGAAGAAAAAACTCATTAAACTCTATTGCTGAATGAATTTTTTGAACTTTAAAGTAAATTTTTCGAAATCAATCAAAAGATTTTTTTGTTTTAGATAGATAACGTTTTGAAGCACTTGTGTCGGTTAATTTTCATTTTAAACGTCCATACTCATCCAAAGGTACATTCTGTATCTTTAAACAATTCACATTTCTTATTCAATTAGTGTTTTTCTTCTGGTCTTTTTTTTTGACATACAGTTTATTGTTCCTTTTAAAAAGGTTAACAAATGATAAAAAAGATTACAAAAATTTCATCAGACAGATTTTACATTTAATTTTACAGAAAATTATGTATTCTACATGCAGGAAAAAAGAAAAGAGAATTTAACAAGGGATATGACCTCGCTCCACAATACCGATCACTCACTCCTCACTCACTCTTACAGAAAAAGAAATAGCTAGACTTCTATAGTGGATCTTCAGAAAAATATTTTAATACAAAAAATTCTAAGTAAGAAGATGTTTTTTTAAAAAAACCATACTGAGCTCTTTGAATACCAAGAAAAGAATAGACATCAAATAAGTATGCTTCGCTTGTTCTGCCAACCTATCAGGGAAAAAACTACTCTTTCCTTTTTTCCGAAATCCCATACTTGCATAGTGTTTTTTAGAGTGTGACATCGCTGTTTCATATGCGTTCCAGGTTAAACGGTACGCATTAGCTTCTGGAGCGGTTTCCAGATGTTTTTGAAACCTCAACCAATATTTGAACAGAAAAAAAAAGTCCCTGAGCGTAAATTCTCGAGTCAAAGCTACAGTCGTCAGGTCTTCATATCCCCAAAGGGAATAAACTAGTCGCAGACCCGTACAGTAAACATGTCGATTTTTTCTTTCTGTTTTTCTGTGAAATAAAACCAAATGGAAAAAAGCCAGGTAAAGTGAGGCAAAGCAAACATAGACAGTCTAGTTTTTCAAGAGTGTGCATAAATGCTGCGTATCATAAACGGTCAAAAGCTGTAGCGAAGTCAACAAAAATACTGAGCGCTGGCCTATTAGGGGCAGCAACAGTTAACCTAATATCTTCCGCGACGCCCAAAATTCGCGTTTGCAATCTCTTATTAGCGGTAAAACTGGACTGCTCATCACAATGTATTCCTTGAGCTAAGCACCACTTTTCTATCCGCGCGACTATTATCCTTTCTAAGATTTTCCCTAAATTTGGAAGTAACGAGATCGAACGAAGTCGATCGATCGTCGGGTAAGCGCCATCCTTGGAAAGAAAAATTCCTTTTGCAATTATTCCTGATTCAAAAAATTCTCCTTCCCTTACGCATTTATTAAATAACACCGTGATTGTACAAAGATATTGGGAAGGGAGTTGTTTTAAGACAAAAGCCGAGTTATCCACATTGTCCAAAGACTTTTTAGACGCACACTTTTTCCACTGCAATTGAACCTCTTCAAATTTAATTTGTTCTAAAGACAAATTTGGCATTGATTTTATTCTTTCATAAGCATCTAAGTATTCTCTGTGAAAAGGATTATTTAAGTCGGGTTTTGGTTCAGCAAAATGCTTTTCATAATAATTGGCGAGCTCCTCTGCAATTTTATTTTGATCTTTTAAAGTTTGAAAAGTCTGTTCTTTCTTTCTGCTCGAGTTATCCGGGCACGGTACTGAAACCTTCTGGGAACTCGAAAGAGACAGAGCTTCAGTTTGAGTTGGTATTTTTAATCCTTTGAAAGCTGGAGCATATGGACGAAAAACATTTTTAACATGAGACCAGATATTCTGCCCTTGTCTCATATGTTCTATTCTTTTGTCACGTTTCTCTTGCTCAAATTTAAATTTCTCCTGCATGTAAATTTTCTGCCAAGTCTTTAAATTTTCATAGTGGCATAAAAAACGCGTTTTACGATATTTTCTTTTATACTTGTTCACAGTCCGGGCTAGTTTTACAAGGTAAGGTGGCCAAGGAGGACGAAAAGCGTTTAAACATTCGTAGGTGCTGCAATGATCGAAAAGTGCAGCTAAAAATAGCGAAAACTGGTCGAAGAAAACGTTATAGTCTAATTCGTAAACTTGCGCATTCCAATAGGAATGCACTGCGCTAGAAAAATAAGTAAACAAATCCCAGTTTGTTTTCCTAAAAACTCCGTTTTCTCCCGCACTGAAAGGGGAGACGAATAGCACCGGAAAATGGTCTGAAGTACCTTCATCTAATCTTTCGACATTCCAGTTCCTTTTTTCTTTTCCAATACAAAAATCTATGATGGCTGTTGATCTTTTTGATGTGGGCTCCATGGGATGTATTGTTACAAATCCTTTATCAATTAGCCATTCGTTCAATTTATTCCCCCGGGTGTCATTCGTCTCACAGTTCCAGTTCGGGTGTTTGGCGTTAAAGTCGCCAAAAATGTAGATGTCTTTCGACGCATGTTTACTGAGCAGGTCAAGCGGTAGCAAGCTGCTAGGGGCAGCGTAAACTCCGGCAACGTACAACTTTTGACACAAAATGTCAAGCTCAAGTAAAATGAAATTTTCAGACTGTTCTGAAACCTCACATTTAATTTTTTGATGCATTAAAATAGCTACGCCACCAAAACCGTTTGTTCCTCTTTGACTAACCCACCTGTAGTTAGGCACCGAAGGAAGCCTACTCAACTGACTGCCTACCCCTGTCAAAATAAAAATATGTGGCAAATAGGTAGAAACTAAAGAAGCTAATTCAGTTACGCGCGTTTTT